CAGGTTTTCCAGCTACGTCCATGAACATGTTCTTCGACTCTCACCTTGTTTGAAACCCCCGGTTCTCAGTGTCCACCTTCCGTTTTGCCATTTTTGATGGGTATCTGAAAGCTAATGTCACTCTTATGGGAACGACTGCTAGACGAATAAATATTTAAATAAAGCGGCCGACTGCTTGGCGCGTCACCGTTGCATTGTGGGAAATGTAGTTTTGGTGCGTGTAAAAGATCTACGGGCTCTCGGCTTGCTGCGGTCCGCGGGCCGGATCTAATAATAAATCAATATCATCCCAGGGGCCACTGAAAACATTCTCGCGGGCCGGATTTGGCCCGCGGGCCGGCACTTTTACATGTGTGGTCTACAGTATATCGCCAATTGACTAGAGTCTGTCGAGTGACCGGGGATGGTTGTAACACTCGATCTGACCGAACAGCAATGAGCTGTTGTGATATCATCATACAATCAATGGCCACTTAGATATTGAGCTCTTTGGTGAAGCCTCATACGGTATGAGGCTTCACCAAAGTTTTTAACATTTCATGTAACCGTGTTCTGGAGCCCCCATTTTTTTCCCGAGGTAAGAAAGTAAAAATGTGTGTGTGTGTGTGTGTGTGTGTGTGTGTGTGTGTGTGTGTGTGTGTGTTTGTGTGTGTGTGTTTGTGTGTGTGTGTCTCTCTCTCTCTCGCGCTCTCTCTCTCTCTCTCTCTCTCTCACACACACACTTTGTGTGTCCATTGTGTTGCAGATACAATTGTTTCACTTACATAAGCTAAGTTTCTCAAGTTTAATATTATATAATATTAGCTTTGAAACTTAAGGCAAAAGCTTTGCTTGTTATTGGTTGCCTGGCATGAGGAGGGTTGTAACTGTTCTTAAAAAGTGATGCTTGATATTGTGATACATGCAAACCAACACACTTTGATAACTGATAGCCAAGGGAAGTGTGGATCAGATCTGTCAGCAGTGTGAAGTTTGTGTTCATGAAACCTGCACCCCAGGCAAAGACAACCACATGTGCCACAACTGCCTATCTAATTAAACGTAAGTATTGTGCCTCCGGCGGTTTGCTTATGATGTAAAGTTGCACCTTAAAAATACCCGTTTTGTTTATCGTTCAGTCGATGGTTACACTGTTCAAATGTCTTATGAAGCACTGTTCACAGTAAATACTGCTCAAAATAGTTTGTTGATTGTTCCACAGCTGTCCAAGTGTTCAAATACTTTTTCACATTAACTTGTTTCAGGCTACAAAAGACACACAACAGTTTATACTTTGTTTACAGCGGTGGTTGTTTCAAAGTCTATAAATACAGTTGAGTTATTAATATTTTTTAATTATTATATAATTTATTGTATTTATTTTCATTGAATTCAATTTACACTTTTTATTCAGTGCATTATTGTTGTAGTCTTGCAAGTTAATTGCTCCTTCTTTCTTATTTATTTAAATGCTTCCATAAATGTATTCGTAAGGCTCTTTTTTGAAGCATCGTAATTTAATTGTTACATCCATCCTCAAGTACTGTACTAACTCACCCTGGTACTGGGGTAGGTTGTAACAACATATTACAATAATTTACATAATCTATGATGGTATAGTGGAAGCGCCAGTGCATGTCATGTCTGGCAGACAAATACCAGGGCAACCGGAAGATGTCAAAATTTGAGATTGCTAGCACAAAGAACCACAAAGTTGCACTTGCTCAAACAAAAAGTGTTACTGTTATCCCCAATGTCCCCAATACCATACATGTTAAAATTGTATTATTATTTGTGTGCCTGTGTGTGTTTTTAACATACTTTTTGAACAAGTATTCTGAACCCAATGTATGAGATACTTTTTACGTTGTTTCACAAAGATGGTTACAATTTGTGAAAAGGCAGCCAATTACCGTAAATTAAATAATCCATGATTTTGGCCGGTGGGTAATGCGTGAATCAATATGTGAGGCATGTGATCATGCATTTAAAACTCATTCAGTACCAGCCAATTCTGGACCAAGTCTGAAAAGACGTTTAAAAATGTCTTTGGGAGTGAATGAGTTAACAGGCATGACTAGTGAGCTCTGAGCTATCAAAAAAACAAAGTTTCTCCACAAGCATTCAGATAATCACATAAAATTTGTGACCACAACAAAGGACACACATGACAGTACAGTAGGTTGCTCATAAAACTGCACGAGTGTTTTTGACCTACTTTTTTATGCAGCTTTGCAAGAAACAGCTGTTCTTGTCAAGCCTGTATACTCCAGAATTTGGGGGGTCTTCACACACTGATAGGAATTGCTGGAGTTCTGACATAGGTCTCCCAGTCTGCTGTTGTTGCTGCGAATGAGTCATTGTGATCGTGAGAATGCTATTAGAACATCCTGATGATTTCTTGAAGGGGTCAAAATTGGGGCAGTTAATGGTAACCAGAAATATTTACCTTGATGGTGTCATAGGTGTCTGTGATGATAGTGATGAATAGACTGAGGATCATGTAGATGAAAAGCGAGACAAAGCTATAGAGGTAGACTCTGCTGAAAATCCAAATCAAGTTGCTCTTCTGTTTCATGTTTTTAAATGTGGGAAACATGTCATCTCCATTGATCAGGGAAAATAGACACTCCGAGACTGTGTTCAAGGTCCTGAACTTTTTTTTGGGGGGGGGGGGCGGGCAAAAGGGGAGAAATGTTGTTACTGTAAGTTTGTCCTTCGTGAATATTGGCAGCCAGGAATAGCAGAGCTGTGCTTGTCTGAATTCAATTTTGAAAAAAAAACAAGCGATTTTACCTTTTCGTGATATGGGCCAAGGACGATCCATCCACAAAAGCAGTAGCTCAGGTAGATGATTCCAGCACAGCAAATGAAACGGATAACATTTGGGAAAGCTGCCCTGAGTGTCAGGATGAGGATCTGTGGGGACAAAGGGGCACATAAACTGCCTCGGTCCCACAGGAATTTTATTCCAGCACTTATGATTCTGAGTCTCATTCCTAAAACGTGAGCTCACTGAATGGCAGGTGATTTGTTTCGGAAATCTTAGGCACAAGTTGACCTTATTTAGGCTCTACAAAATGCAAACAAAGTGGGCTTTTGCATGTGAAAAATATAAACATTCAAATTTGCTCACATTGTACTTGCGAAAGTAGCCCATGTAGCGGATGACCCCGATCCAAACAAACATGGTGCCAAGACCAAGGAAGATACTGCACACATCGTAGGTAGTCAGGACCTACAAAATGAAAAATAAAGAAAGGTTTATTAAAAAAAAAGGGGGCGGGGGAGACAGGGATGGATCGAATTATTGCATGACTATTACTTTAGTTTGAATATCAATCTTGAGAATGGAGCCAGTGATGGTTAACAAGTCACTGGCAATGATCAGGATGTACCAGCCATTAATGAACTCCAGCCTGTCAGACCACGGGACGTCTTTTCCATTCTGGTTCTTGCAGAAGAGTGTGTACTCCTAGGCAAAATAAAAATAATGCATCACTGAAAGTGAAATGTGCTTCAAGTCGTCAATGATGTGGACTTACAAACTGAAGTTGTATCCCAGTGAACACTGAGCGTAGGCAAAGAGTGAAGGAAATCATGCATGTTAAGATGATGATGCAGTCAAACACCACGGTCAGGTATATGCTTTTGGCGGCTGAGAGCAAAAAAATAAATATTACCACTCTAATCCGGAAAGTAAGCACCAATGTACTTCAGCTCAGCAAACATACAAGCTCCGGTTACTTTCCAGTCTCTGCATTCCTTGATCTCCACATCGTTTTCAAGGTCCACCTTTATCCTGCCGCTGTGCGCTCCATTGTTGAAAGTGATCTGTTAAGCAGAAAGGTTAATCCTATAAGAGCCATACATTCGGTAGCTCCAACACTGGGTACCTGGACACAAAGGCGCATCAAATCCAGCTTCAGAAATTAAAAACCCTGCTACAGTAAACAAGCTTGTTTACCTGCCAGTTGGGTCGAAGCTAATGCCAAACTGCGGCAGGGTTTTTAATTTCTGGACCTGGATTTGACACCACTGCCTGCACAATTGAATAAGGGAGTTGTATCAAAAATACTGCACTGTAGTTTTTCACTTTTGAAAAATATACTTATTACAGTATTTCCCGATACACATATGCATCATTGTAGGTGTGACTTACATCACTCTGTCATATTAATATGTGTTTGTAAATGCCTCTTATGTTATTCGACCAAAATTAACACACCATTTAGATGATGCACTTGCAGATGCACCTATGTGACAATATCAAACCTAAAGAAAAAAAGAGCAATCTTTGTCAAAATAAATTTCAGATCATACGGTGTGTTGCGGCTCATTATAGCAAGAAGGTGAACTTTACGGAAGGGTTTGGTGAGTGTGGGTTCATTCAACAGGCCTTAAAACTAATACTGAGATGTGCAAATAGTACGGAGTCCCATATGTCGCACAAGGATGTTGAAGTCATAGCAGTCTGGCAGCTCTCTGTGTCTGACTGTCTGTAGATTGATGGCTTTGAGGACAAATGAAATCTTGATGGAGAGCAATCTGGAAAACAAAGCACGCACGGTTACATGAGAGATTTTTCTCAGTCGCACCGTGCAGACAAATGATGCAGCAGTGCAATGTGAAGTCTAACACACCTTTTAAAGTGCAACTCAAAATGCGGGAGCATGTCTTGTGATGACGACTGAGTCATTGGATAGATGTCAATGCAATCTGTGTGACACAAGCCATAAATCATAATCACTTTTGGTGTCATGTGAATTGTTTGCATTCGACATTAATATGTAATCTGAAAACAATCCCCCCCCTACCACTTTCCACATGAGCATCAATTTCGAAAGTGTCGTTGCCAGGGTAAATGGTGCCATTCCTATAGAACTCCTGACACAGTGACAAGGGTGTGTAGACAGAGCCAGTTTTCTCATATTCATGGTTTCCGACTGTGGTGTTGTGCAGACGTCCGTACTGGAAAAAAAACATTTAAAGTCATGTTACAATCTGAAACAAGCGGCACTAAAGTAATGCTAGATGACCACATGAATCAGTGTGTCCAAAGTTCACAAACACATCGTAACTTTAACAACATAAGCAAGCAGTATAATGGAGGTCCGTGAATGATTTACATTCACACAAAATGAGCTGCAATAATCTCTCAAAGAAAGAAATACATGCAAGAAAAGAAAGAAAGAAGACATAGATTCCACGAAATAAAATGATATAGATTAATAAAGGGGATTAAAAATGTTAACATTCACTTGCCTGTTCGATTACATATTTGATGTGATCATAAACATCTTCTTGTCTATAAATGGCGTATGTTTCAATGGTCCCGTCAACATAATCCTTCAAGAAGAGGTGCTGAAATGTCATCAGGTTTTCTTCCTTAAAAGTTACAACCATCTGGTTGCTCAGCCCAAACGACACCAACTAAGAGGATAAAAAAAAAAAAAAATAAGCGCTGATCAGAATGCAGATATAACAAAATGATGTGTACATCATACATACTTGGACCGTGATAATGGCAATTTTGATGATCTGCAGAATAAGTTTCCATGGTTTCCTTCCACGAGCATGGTACTTTTCACAAGGGTTCATGAAGTAATATTTGATTTTCCTTCTGAGAAACTCCACATTGTCCGCTTCCATTGAATGATCCCGATGATCAGCCCAGACAGTGTGAGTCTCTCGTGTACGTCATACAAATCAGCGGGCTCCTGCATAAATGAAAAGATATGCAGTAGTACTGTACTGTGTATCGTGAAATATCATGGAGTTGTTCATTTCTAACTTTCAAGTTACTGTAGTTACTTATGTCTATAATTTTGTTTATATTAGCAAATAATCACAATTGTCATCATACATTGCGCAGTCTGACCAAACAAATTCTTTCAAAAATGTTTTCCTTGTCTTTCCCCCCAATATTATGCTATAGGTTTCTCACTGGATAAACAGTAGAATAAATGCTTCTGAATGTGAATTTAACTCAATTTATTTTAATTGATATAACATTAAATTAAATTAAATTCCAGTTTTCCACCACATGCATATCACCACATATATAACATGTATAATATCCAAATGTACACTTTATCTAAGGTTCGCCACTGACCTGATTACTGTACTTTCTTGTGTGATGGCAGTCAGACAGCTCTAACCTGCGAAGGTTTCGGATTATGCTCAAAAAGACGTTGCTTGCGTCATTTTTTGTTAAGAGACGCTGATTGGCTCTTAAAGCCGTCAGTCAATTTGGAAACGCCCTCTCGTTGTTAATGGCAACCAAACAGTTCCATTTCAAAGCAAAAGGCGAGGCTGTCAAATAGGGTAAGGAAATTGAGATGACTCCTTTTTATATTGCTGCTAAATACATTCACTTTCACGTCAGTGATATCGCTACCAAATAGCCACATGTTAAACATTTGTTAAGCAGACAAACCATTCGTAGTTATCTGCTTATGTAACATTACTAAAATGGTTCTGTATCTTGTGTGTCTATGGAAGTTGGTATGACGTCGCCACTTCATGTATTTTATTAAGATCAAGCACTTTGCTATTGGAGGCGTTTGTATTATTATTTTTACTTTTTCATGGAAGTACCTGGATGTCAAAGATACGGTACTGCGCCACATTCTATCTCTACCACAAGGTGTCGCTAAATGATAACAAAATTACTCATCTCCCAGGTACCGACTGTGTGGGGATGCAAAACTAAATTCAACAACATTACTACTACTGTACTACTAACCAGTTATTTATTTATTTATTTAACTCTTCTGTAAAGCTTTTCCTGGAATATTACTACACTGATTTTATTTTTGTTATTTGTTTACAGAGTTGGAATTGATTTGCCATCTCCATCAGTGGAGGGATCACATGAGCAAGAATGCCATCACAGACAAGCTCAAACAGCAGTGCAGAAAATGGTCCAAGTGGGTGTAACATAATCACATGCAATATAATAAAACGTAATGACTGCTAACGGTGATGAGAGCTGAGCTGTAATAAAATGCAAATGTAAATCTTGATCAAACTGAAACATTTTCAAAATACATTGAAAAAGAAAAAACATACTTAGAATGCCTCAGTATCCACAGGGCCGTTGCTACCCCTTCCCTACTTGTAAGCTGTAAAGTCAGATAGTGCCCCAACTACCCCACACTATTTTTCATGGACCCAAAACTTTCAACGAATATATGAACAATGATGTGCCACAATCGTTCAATGTCAGGTGCAGGACATTTTTCATGCAATAATTATATTAATTTGTCAAGTTGTGGTGTGCCGATGTACATTTGACCATGGGGCTCTAGATTTTGTGTACTGGTTGGACACAAAATGTATGTTTTTGGAATGAGGAAGGAAACCGCAGTACCTGGAGAAAACCCACGGAGAACATTCTAACTCCACACACGAATGCCAGAGCTGGAATCGAACGCTGCGCTTCTGCACTGTAAGGTGGACATGCTAATCGGTCAACCACCTGCCCACCCAATGTTTAGCTCAAGTTTCAATATTTATAATAAGCATTGTTTTTAGAGTCAAAGTGTACAACCGGTATATATTTTTTTTCACTTGCCACATCGTGAAATTTAAGCACCTGCTTGCATATAGGGAGCGGTGGACTTGAGCAGCCACAAAGTTGGAAGCATAGAAATCTCCAAAATACAGTACAGTATCTTTTATGTTGATACAATACATTCATTTGACAAAATTAAGTTGCCCAACTCTGAAATAAATACACACCTTAAACGCTTTTTTCTTCTTTCTTTAAAAGACAATGGAACAATGTTAAGCATTCCTGTGATGTAATCTGTGGAATTTTGTTGCATAGCCTTGGGCTTGCTTCGTTCTCACCTGTGGATCTATTGTCATTGTCTATCTAATTTACAACATGCTTTCGGTCAAATACAAGTCACCAACTCTGTATTTAGTGTCGGTCATTGTGCCTTGTACCTTCACTAAATTGAAAATAATGTTTTTTCGGGTCAACAAAGAAGCGAAATGAACCCCAGCCCACTTTCTGCAGATCTCAATATGAGTCCTTCAATTGGCCAAAATAAGCAAGTTCAAACAAGTTGACTGACACCTTGGGGTAGGCCATAGTGGTGAAAATATTAGTAAAATCAAAAACAGACCCAACATTTTCATGATCTGTGGTGAAGTTGTAGGTCTAAGTTAGGGAATATCAGTCCATTACTAGCATTACACAAGATGAAAGGGGCCTAAGAAATGAGAATGTTCCATATGGAATACACACACATGCAATCAAGTTGCATTCTTCTGGGTTCTGGCACATTACACATCACACACTCTTAATCTGTCAGGCAAATATTTTCTTTTGATGCAATCACCATCGCTGACACTTGACCGTATTAGATGACAGGTGTGAATTTCCCCTCCCAAGGATTTGGTGTGAAGTCTGAATGAGTTTATTGGGAAGGTCGACACACCCAGCTGGGAAGTGGGTTTACTTAAGCTGTACTCCAAGCATTCCCTGCATCCTTTCTGCAACCTTGTGGGGAGCCTTTGAAGGGAGCGGCCACAGGCAGTCATTATACAAAACTGTCATTATACATGTTTACTGTAGATAGTTCTGGGCTAAGCATGCTTCGAGACACGGATTATCTATTACAAAAAACTTATGAGGTTAAAATTTTCGCTCACTGCAGACATTTACACATTAGAAGAGAAATAGACTACTTTTACTGTTAGAGGGCCGGAAAACAGAACACAGACTAATAAAGATTTTTTTTTCACCCTCAGTCATTGCAATAGCACCCTTATGTTTGATCAGAAAAGTAGGCTCTCTGCAATGTTGTCGTAGTCTGTAGGCGCTACACTGGTATCTTTATTAGGACTCTGGCTTTTTATCCCAGCATAGCAACCAGGAAAATAAGCAAACTAGCTATAGATAGTCTGACATAACATTCATCATTTCAAACATTTTAAAGATTATGACTGAACTTTCTCCAAGGTCACCCAGCGGACATCATCCCCATGGTCCTGACTTCTGCTACTCAGGAGCACTTTGGTTGCATTGCCGATGAGGACGTCACAGGGGAGAACCCCTACAAGCTGCTGAAAAAAGATGACATCTTAGAGGACATGAAGGCAAAAGCTGCAGTGTCTGATTTCAGCCCTGTGAAGCAGATTATTCTGGTGAGGTTTATCTTTACATTGTCCTATGGATCACTCGGACAAAAGCCAGAAGACACTGGGATCATGTACAGCCTTTTAAGAGCTGTGGCAAAAAAAAAAACCCACATTTCTCTTTGATTATGCATGGGTAACTTGGGATGTGTCAAGTTAGGCTTAGTTGACACTGCAGGGCGTGATGCTCACCTCAAGTTTTTTGTTCAATCTAATCTTTTTATTTTACTCGTTCACATTACAAAAACAAATGCAGCTCATACTGCCAAAGCAGCGAGGTGAATAGAGGTAGGAATAATTTGTGGAATATCAGGCAACGCTCCTCAAGCTTCTTATTTAATGGCGACGTCTACTACAGATGACATTACTGTCGCATGTAATAAATGAAGTGTCTGCATGGCTGAATTACTACTATCACCACAAATGTCCATTTTATCCTAAATGTTTCAAATTGGACTGTATTAACCCTTTCAGGGACAGCAGTTACTACAGTGGACAGTTCATCATATTATCAGATTACAGGCTGATTGAAAGTGTTTAATCAGGGTTCACCAACTTTTTGAAACTTGAGAGCTAAATCTTGGGTCCTGATTAATGCAAAGGGCGACCAATTTGACATACACCGTTGCAAATTTGCTCACATTTTTTGTTTGTAAATCTGCTCATCGTTTCTCCCACTAGATTTTATCCACGAACACTATCCTTTGGTCACATGCTACAGTGCTGACCTTTGACCTAAACTGTTTTTCTCCAAAATATTATTACAAAATTTATAATTGAAAAAGAATAGCATCAAAAAAGATTTGATACATCTTTGACACCTGCTTTAAGCAATCAGTGAAATTCCATGGACCGCACTCACTGCTTGAATCCAGATTTAATGACCGTCTCAACCATTTTCTACATTGCTTTAACTCTGTGTTTCCCAACCAGAGGTACACATATGAACATACTGCAGGGGCTACAACACTTTATAATGTGTTTCGAAGATCAATAAACTGTGGCACAGCCACACAAAAACCACAACAGCAGTGTGTCAGATCAACTGACTCAAAGCCAGATTCTTGATGAAAGTAAAACTGCTACATTATTATGATTGATGATTATTCTTAACTGTCTGTTCCTGATCATTTAAGTTTAAAGAGGACTCATTCAAAGAAGCAATACTTTTTTGTGGCGAAGAGTTGAATATAAACATAGGCAGGAGGATTTTTTTCTTGATTTATGTGCATTGCAAAATAGATAATGCCAAAGAATTAAATGTTCAAATTAAGGAATGAAATGAGTTTCATTTAATAATCAGATGTGTGGCATTCTACTTTTGGAGAGACACCAACACGTATGAGTGACGCAGGGTATGGATGATATATGACAGAAAGGTTCAGGGGTACACAAGACCAAAAAGGTTGGGAACCAATGCTATAACTCATTGTAAGCTGGAACTGATCCCTGCTGGCTTTGGGTGAGAGACACCCTGGACTGGTTGCCCGTCAACTGCAGAGCACACAAGACAACCAACCAACTACAATGACATTCACAACTACGGGCAACTTAGTATGTTCCATGACTTCGGATGTGATTGACCCATGCAAGCATCAGGCGAACATACAAACTCGACACCAAAATTTTGCACCATTGTCTTTTGTTTGTATAATGTGGTGGAACTTCTGTTATGGTATAAACTGTACATTACATATCCGTTTACAGGAGTATCCAGAGAGTGAGCTTTTGCTCGTCTATGATCGGGACTTCACCTATGGCCAATTGTTCTATCTGGTTGTGACACCAGAAGCAAAGGAAAGAATCCTCAATGTAAGTACCGTAGACTCTTTGCTGCTAAGTTCAAATTTGTCTGATAATTTTTGTTGTTGTTGTATTGTTTTATTTTATGCTGCAGTGTATTAATAAGTGGCATATTCTTAGACATTGACTCAGTGTCGCTATTTGTTTTTTCCATTTTACTACAGAGAGGATAAAAGTATTCAGCTCCCTTGAATTTTTTGAACTGTTGTCACATTTCAGTCTTCAAACATCGATCTAAAATTAGATTATTTGTTTTTGTGAAGAAACGACACCCAGCGGGACATGATCGTGAAGGGAATGAAATTCATTGAAAACCTTTTTTTCAGAAATAAAAATCTGAAACGTGAGACACGCGATATGATTCGGCACCTTTCCCACCAAGTTCCCTGATGATTTAGGAACGATCCAATGTTGACCTAATTGACCGATGATGATAAATATAGTCCATCTGTATGTAATCTAGTCTCATTATAAAATCACCTGCTCTGTGATGGTCTCAGAAGTCCGTTAAAAGAATACTGAGGAGCAAACAGCATCACGAAGACCAAAGAACACACCAGGCATGTCCGGGATAAGGTTGTGGAGAAGTTTGAAGCGGGATTACGATATGAAAAGCTTTCACAAGCTTTAAACATCTCGCCGAGCACTGATTGATCAAACATATTGAAATGGAGACTGTATCAGACCACTGCATTGAGAGAGCACTGACCAGAGGTGCAGCCAAGATGCCCATTATAACTCTCGATCAGTGGTTCTTAACCTGGGTTCGATCGAACCCCAGGGTCTTGGTCTCGGGGGTTCGACGGAGCCTCTGCCATGGAGGTTAATACATACCCAACTCAATATTTCCATTAGTTATGACATGCCCGCTTGTCCATCGCTGGTTGCAGATGATCACACTACATTGCTTGTCCAATCAGTGCTGCGGGAAATTTAGTTCAGTCAGTCATCACCGTGTGACTGTCGTGATAGTACATCATAGAATTTAAAAAACCTATACTTATGCCATGTAATTTTATTTTTTCTGTTTTTAATAAATGTGTTTTTTGTCTTGAATTTGTAAAAAAATCACATTTTTATTTTTCACTAATGAAGGGTTCAGTGAACGTGCATCTGAACTGATAGGGTTCGGTACCACTAACAAGGTTAAGAAACACTGATCTAGTTGAACGACAGAGATCCACAGCTGAGGTGGGGGAATCTATCCAAAGGACAACTATTAGCCACGCACCGCACACATTTGGCCTTTATGTAACAGTGGCAAGAATTCTATTTCACAAAGACAACCATTAAAAAAAATCTCATCTGAAGCTTGACAAGCCACCTGGGGGAGACAACAAAAATGGGGAAAACGGTGCTCTGGTCAAATGCGACCATTTTTGGGCTGAATGCAAATTGTGACATTTGGAACAAAATTAACATTGTAGATCACCCTGAACACACCATCCCCACTGTCTAACATGGTGGGGGCAGCATCAGGTTCTGGGGCCGCTTTTCTTCTGCAGGAACAAGAAAGATGGTTCGAGTGAATTGGAAGTTGCCTTCCAACAAGACAATGATTCGAAACGAATGGGTCAAAACGAAACACATCCAGGTGTTAGATTGGCCAAGTCAAAGTCCAGACCTGAATCCAATTGAGAATCTATGGAAAGATCTGAAAATTGCTGTGCACAAAGGCTCTCCATCTTATCTACCTGAGCTGGAGCTGTTTTGCAAGCAAGAATGGGCACACATTTCAGTCTCTAGATGTGCAGAAATGATTCGATATCACAAAAGACTTGTAGCTGTAATCGCAGCAAAGGATTTTTTTCAAAGCATTAACCGAGGGGGGCTGACTAATTTTGCACACTCCACTTTTCAGTTTTTATTTCTAAAAAAAAAAAAAATCACAAATATTGAATGAATTTCATTCCACTTCACGTTTGTGTCCCACTTGGTGTTGATTCCTAACAAAAAAATCTAATTTTGTGACTTTAGGTTTGAAGCCGGAAATGTGGCAAAATGTCAAAATGTTTCAATGGGTCGAATAATTTCCCAAGACACTGTATGTCTTGTTTTGTGTTTGTTCTGCAGCCTCCTGAATCTGAGCCTGAAGAAGATTTCGAGGATGAAATCAAAACTCCAGAACCCAAGGAATGGATATCACTCGGCAGTGAAAAAGAAATTGATGAAGAATCTGTCAAAGAGACAAGAGGAAAGGTACTTCAAAACACGTTAAACAATTGAAGCTTTTTGATTCATTCGGGTCTCCTCCATTTTGTCTCCCTCATAAGTTATTGTACAAGTTCTCCAGAGCTCGGAGGAATTTTGGGATACCGGTCTCTCTTTCGGACCGCAATGTTACAGATGTTAAAGATGGCATCCTGGAGTGTGTGTCCTACCAAGACAGGCGATTCAACATCAAGCTGTTACAGAGAGATTGCGGGGTGCAGGCTATTCCCATTGTCCAGAGCAGCAGCGCCCAGACACTGTGGTACGAATGCGTCAGCGAATGAGGACATGCATAACTTAGATCCCTGCAGTCTTCTCTCGTCGTTCTACTTTTGACACAAATTACCACTTGAAAAATGTTTGCCTCAGAGTAGGTGGTCCACCCAGATCTTGTCTAGCTCAGTCGGTGCAAATCTGACTCCGCCCCCGACGGTCGCTTTTCCATCCACCCATCCATCCGATTTCTAATCTGTGTGTCCTAACAAGGTTCACGGGCATGCTGGAGCCTATCCTAACTGTCTTCGGGCAGTAGGTGGGGTACACCCTCACCGTGCCACCCGGCCGCTTTTCCATTCCACTTTTTCGAGGCCAATTAACTCCACTGCAAACGCCCATTTGCAAGACAGCGGACCACCACCAAGTCATAAAAATGCAGAATGTACAGCACACATATATTGTGTTTTACAACAGTTTTTAACCACAGTCACAATTTCTTATACACCAATGGATGAAACAGTGAAGCTTGTGGTACAAAAATTTTGTGAGCAAGACGCACCTTCCAGTCAAATAGATGATAGCAAGCACCATCTTTCAATTTATAGCCACACATTCCTCTTTAGAGCTGCTGCACGTTGCACAATGTCAGTCAAGGACCACACACACTGCTTGATTCAGAAAGTGGACATGGTCTACAATGAAAGACAGGGCTCACTTGAATGTACCCAATCCAGTAAAATGGATTTTATGTATTGCACATAAAAGATAAGTCCAACTGAACTGAACTTCACAAATGCGCTGTACTTAAAAAAAAGTTTGACATGACTAACATTATGCGCAGTTTCAACATTTAATTCAGCAATTCTCACGTACCACTATAGTAAGCCAGCGTATCACTAGTTTTATTTGTACCATACTTCAGCTGAATATTTTTATGCAGTCTTTCATCTGAAATTCACATGTGAATGTGCACTAGATATATTTTAGCCAAATTACACACCCTATGCTCTTTGAATACACATATTGAACAATGTCTTCGATGTACATTACAGGAAGTATATGAGGAATAACTGTACACAATACACGCCGGGAGAATTGAGCAAAAATGAGAAGGAGAGCCCTCAACCAAGCCTAAGTGATTTTTTTGATGCAGTGACAAACAGGTAAAACAGGATTTTACATTTTGTTTTTTTTTAGGATAATACCATTTTATCTTGACTTTGCCAATGACTCGTGGGAGTCCCTAAAATGTTCTCTGCGACTATATTCATTAAAGCTTTCATAAGGTTACAGGACATTATAATGTTTTCGAAGATGCTCACTCTTTGTTGGTGGACCACAAAGCTGCTAAAAACAACTTCCTTTTTGTAGGGTTCTGCATGCCCTTCAGCAGGAAGAGATTATGAACGTGTTCAAAGATGACTGGATGGCTTTGGGGACAAACACTGAGGACATTGACTGGTCTGGGAAGGTGTCGGATGTTTTGATGCTGAATCAGGCTTTTTCTGACCCAAATTACTCTCAGGACAAGGAGATCATCTGCCTGCACTGGCATCCCACCATTCAGAGTAAAGCTCATTCGAGGCAGCTATTTTTTTTTTCCTCATACAGTTTTCAAAATGTTTACAAATGGCGGTCTTCCCAAAATAGTACTGGTACACATACACTCTTACAAGGTTTTGTACTGATGTGAGGTATCCATATGGACAGTCACTACTAGTACATTAAACAGAATAGATGCTCTGGTTGTCTATCTGATCAAAGGTACAGTTGTCCCAGTTTCTTTAATGACAGAGCTAGTGACACATTTTTCTTTGTCTCAGCTTTATTTGGATACATTTTATTATCTTATTGCTTTTCAAGGTGTGATGGCTGTGGCAATGACAGAAAAGAAGACACAGCAGTTGGTCAGATCTACTGGGCCACTCATCGTTTTTTACACCTTCTCTGACCCCACTCATGCCAAGGTACGCAAAACTGAGTGTTGAATGCGCATGCTGTTGACAGTTGTTAGTGCTGTGTTTTCTCTATCTATCCTGACACCCAGACCAATTGTCCGAAAGCATAAATTACTGTATTTTACGCACAATAAGGTGCTTCGGAGTATGAGGTGCACCATCAATAAATGGGCTATTTTAAAACAGTTTTCATATATAAGGCGCATTGCATTTTAAGGCGCATAGAATAGAAGCTACATTAGTGGCTGTGGTTGCGTTATGGATCCACTAGATGGAGCTACGATAAAGAGAATACAATACAATACAGCTTTATTCATAATGCGCTTTCACAACCGCTGCAGCTGTAACACAGCTCTTTGCAGAACATTTGAAATATTTCGTCCAAGAAATCAGAATATTGATCCATATATAAGCATTATAAGGCACACTGTCGGCTTTCGAGAAAACTGAATGTTTTTAGGTGCGCCTTATACTGCGGAAAATACAGTAAATGTAAATTTCTCACATGAGAAGTATTGGACCTTTGTAGTTCAAATTATTCAAATATATCCGCAGATTTCCATCATTAGCACTAATATTGACTAATGTTTTTTTTTTTTTTTTTGGTACTGAAATTTATTAGCCTATACTATAGGCCCTATAGAAAACAGAAAAAAGTAAATAATATGAGGATGATATCAAATAAGATCTAATGTGGAAAAAAAAATCATTACTTTCTTGTGTGAAATGTGAGAGTATTGATTAAACGCAGACACTTTGATCAATAACTGGTGGTGATACCGTGCAACATCATTCCTCTCGATGATGCATGCCTTCTCTTATCCATCTCATCTTCTGTGTATCGTATTAGCACAATATTCTGGTAACCGTTTAAAGTGTGGACAAAGAAGTCGTTCTGTTGTTCAGTTCAGCAGCTATTAATAACAGTGGTGTATTTTAACACATTTTCCAAAACGCTCGATGTTTAATAATAGCTGCTTTGTATTGCCACTCTGGGCCTCATCCAATGTAGAAACTCGTTTACGCACTTGGTTTTGTGGATTAAAAATTAAGAATAATAAAATCAAAAATTCCACAGATATGCATGTGGAATTTTTGCTCGTACTGAACACAAAAATTTCATTTGGACTATATTATTTTTGGGCTGATGGAGTGTGTGTGTGTGTGTGTGTGTGTGTGTGTGTGTGTGTGTGTGTGTGTGTGTGTGTGTGTGTTTTGCAGATACTGCTGGAGTGCCCAGATGACATTCTTGCCTTTGAATTCTGCCCCTCTGATCCAAATATTATTGTTGGCGGCTGCGTGAACGGCCAGGTGCTGACTTTGACTCTACTTTGTGTCTCAGCTTGCCCGACCCTGCTGCTTTTGGCCTTGGGACACTTTTCTGTCCGCTGTTTTTGTCGATTTCTGCTTCTCAAACATGGGGATCACCAATAACAGACATGGCAACCTGTGTGCCTTAGGTCGTGTTGTGGGAAATATCCGCTCATGTCACGCATTTACACCCAGCCCAACATGGTCATCATCGACATGAATCTGTCAAAAATGACATGCTGGTAAGTGTTAGTTCGTGTCTCTAATGATCACCGTTCTCTATTGCGACATACTGTAAAGTCAAGACAGGCAAAAAGGCAAGGTGTCTCCCATAGAATAATAAATCGAGACAGTCCATTAAATACTGCATATCATCTATCTCTTAATATCCGAATCCTTAAACAGACAAATATCCTGTCACCATTGACTAGGCAGCTTTATTTAAAGAGTCACATCTGCCCACGTTTGCTTTGTGCGCTTTTATTGTCCCTCCAGTTGGCCAGCTGTCTCCATCCCTCTCCCTGCTTCTTGTTTTTTGCTTTCCCTAACTCCCTCCCTCTACCTCCATTCTCTTTCTACCCATTTGCTCTTCATTTCCCAGAGCCAACAGCATCAGCTATCACCCTCCAGCTGTCACGTAAACCCCTCCGCCCTCACCTACCACCACAGTTTGTCCCTGAAGATAACACACAAGCAAACCAGATCCCTGCCTTCCCTTTTATTTGTGGTGTAAACAAGGCTTTACTTCTCTATTGAGGCTTTGTGGAAGCTACAGGCACCTGTGGTCTGCTTGTCAGACAAATGAATAAAATCCTTTGATATGGATGAACTGTATTTCCCTTTTACCACCATGTGATATGCAACGTCTGTTCACGTGACTTAGCTGGATGGCGCTGTACACTCACGATGATCAAGGTCAAATGCTAAACGTCAGTGTAAAAAAGTAAATTTGATGGATTGTAGTACTCTCGCTTTGATTAATACGCAATTCATTTCACTCCTGTTCCCCCACACCTCAATCCATTGACAGGGCCTTGAGGACAAGAAACACACTAAAGCGCCACTTGTGCGCTACAGTGCAATGTCTGGAGTGGAGAACAGCCACAAGGCACCAATTACAGACGTCCACTGGCTGCCTCAGACATTTGAGGTATGGGTCACTTTGCTAAGTTTACTTTATGTTCCTGGTTGCCATGGTAATCATATTTGGAGTCACCATGGACAGAACTGGATGGACGTGAGCCTGCGATTACAATGGACAGGCCAGGTTACATTTCTTTAAACTGTTGGACGACAAGACTGGGCCGCAATAAAATGCAATAAAACATTTTGTAACCTGAAGCTTTATCAAAATACCAACTTCCCCTTTACTCACTGTAACACCTGTCCTTTAATCTGCTTGCATATTGGAAAACAAGCAATTTGGTGAAGATTGTCTGTTTAAAAATACACTCTGGACAAAATACACTGGACAAAATTGTGGGACCCCAGCTTGGTACCGTCACCTGATCCCTGATCGGTTGTTAGATGAGCCCATGTGATGTCATTTTCAGTCAATAGCACGTGGCAAAACGTGTTTTGAAAGGTGTTCATTGTACATGAAAAATAATGACGTGAACAATTTTATTCTAGACATCTCACAGAACACAGGACATAGAACATTTACTAAGTGAAATATCTCCCTAAGTTGCGCCATCGTTTATAAACATGTCATGAATGCTTGTACAAACTGCAAAGTTTAACCAACGTTAAACATATCATCTTAATTGTCTTCATTTTTCATTCATTGTCTTTGTCTGTAACCCTTTCAGGCACTCTGTAACCTGAAAACATAAGCTATCCACTATAGTAACCGCTGTCCCTGAAAGGGTTAATTTGCACATGTCTGAAAGAATTCAAGCTGTAAGCAAATGATGTAATATAATATCTATTGACGTATAAGAGCTGCAGCTTGGTGGTGTCACATGCTGCCATTAACATAGAGGGTATGATCACATTTACCCACTAATCGCAACTGCTATTTGTGACTAGTCGACTGGCAAAATAATGGTTTGTAGCAGCCCTACTGTGTATATGACTTAGCCAAATTGGTTTGGTGGGAAAAGTAGCTTTTGAGGTTCTTTTTCGGGTATGTTACTTGATTTTGACACTTGAACTACCCGACAAAATTGAGGCTGTCAAAATATCGTAACACCACAGCCTTGTTCAAATAAAACCTGGTTTTGCATGCTGCACCCATTGGTATTGGAATGAGTGCCATCAAACAAGATCATAGTTGCTGGCATGCCCAGTGAGTCTAAACTTATATATAGTATGATCAAGTTATTCTCTCGTAATCTTCCTACGTATTGGGATTAGTAACAAAAAAAAAAAAAAATCAGAAAATTAATCATTAATCACCATCAAGCGGTCACCAGGAACATTTAGAATATATCTTCCGTGTGTCCTTCCTTGCTTGGTACCATCATTAAGTCTTCAGCTTGATAGATATTTGGTGAATTTGTAACTCTCCTTGACCTCTGATTAGGTAACTGCTCAGGGCATTCCAGTGGAGAACAAATCCAATATTTCTGTTCAACTTATGACCTGCTCCCCCGATGGGTAAGTCATTTGAGGGACGAGAAAAAAAAGTATATAATTGAAGCTGTTGCATGTAATGCTCGCTTGTAGTCAGAAGATGATCATCTTTGCCAATTGCCATGGCAATATTCGATCATTGACTTGAAAGTGTGTCTCACTAATGTCAATGCCACATACTGTTGTACGAACTTCTTGTTCAAACTTTGCTACATTACCTTTACATTGACCATAAGAGATTTTTGTGGAGATGGGAGTAGAATGAAATAACGGATTTTGGAGTGGCTTTTTTCACCTTGTTTATTTCACACAAATGATTCATTTATATTTCATATACTTACTGTCACTGACAACTTGAGACTCTAACAATGTGGTGCCTTCACAATACGTTTCAATTCGTAGCAGTTCTGATGAGAATAATTTTTCATTTCAAAGCTCTTTGATGTTCTGGGATATCCGAGTGCCAAAACAAGCGCGCCAGACCATGCCAGACAAGAAACAGAATGATTCGGAGAATCAGATGGCAAATTACAGTGACAACAACCCTTTCAAACACTTGGAGAAAATGTGGAAACCCTTCATCACGGTATAGCAGGATGCAATGATTTAATGTATGTTACTTTCCAACAGGGGTGCCCAACCATCACAATCGACCGGTAGCCCACGGACTGGTCCCAAGTCGATCACGAGGAGTGTAGGGGGAAATGGAAAATAAAAATTGTGCTTTTTGTATTTAGTGTACACTGTTCCCTAAGTATCCTATTAATTCTTTACGACTTGCTGAACTGAACAGAAGAGAGGATGTATCATCTATACACTTTAAAAGAGACCAGAAGTAATGTTGTCCCTGCCTATTGTTGACGATCCATAATTCGATTGAGGATTGAGGGTGATTTATTTTTAAAGATCATCTTGGTCAAGCGCACATTTTCTTTCATGTATTAGGTTCCCTTGGTAAACATGGAGCGGAACGGTGATTACGCCCCAATAAGATTCAGCCTTTACCCCTTCGCCAGTAATACGAATAACAGCAATGCCACAGTCACAGGTGAGAGTAAAAGTGAAGTTTTTATTATTGAGGCGTGTTACTTTTTAAGAAGGTGCTTGATACAGTTAACCAAGGTATGATTGGTTGATTGATTGTATGAAATAAAATCCACACCAGTGGGCATCTGATGTCAAATCAACATCAATATGAGGACAAAATCACTCACTTGCTGTCCATTTGTTTTATTTCTAACATTTGTGATGCTCAAGAAAGTGGTGGTGATGGCTCACCGGTAACTCCAGACTACAGTAAGCTCGAAATACCCTCAATCAAAGGACTAACACCTCTGCCAGACGTAAATACGAAGATTTATATTGGAACACAGGTAAATATTCTTGCAGTCATCTTCATCCTCAGCATACCGATCGCATTCATGTTCTTTGATCAGCACTTGAAATCATTTTCTGCCACACAGTAGTTAGACCATGCAGACATTGGCCTTTACGTTACATTAAAGAATATGATTTATACTCGAAACTAATCAATTGTGTGAATGTCGTGACACACAGATTGGCGAAAACACCCCAACATCGAAGTGATTCTTCTTTCACTTGTGAGTTTTTATGTTTCTCCGCCAAAAACAGGATTATAGTTCAACGGCAAAATGCACAGAAAGGAAATTCAATTACCCTGCCTCCAAATTAGATTACGCTATACGACAGACTTCAATGTGGATAAATGCTAATTGAATGCATTGTGGAGTTGTTTTTTTCATTTTTTTTCATTTCCTGCTGTGGACAAATATAAAGATGGCAACTAGTTATTGGACAGATACTTGTCTCCTTCCTGGCTACTGTCAAGGTGCAGTTAAGGAAGGCACTGCCCTCCAGCCCTCCAACTCAAGAGGTGCAGCACTGTTGTACACGCTCCTTTCTCCCTTGACGTCTTCCTGCATGTGTGTGATCAACAAGCGAGTTGCTTGTTCATGAAGGATGACAAATAGGCAGTGTCATTATGATTGCCAGGCTTTGTGCTACTGACTAAACGATTTGATCATACTTGACGAGTGTCTCTGTGTACACAATGCTTTTTTGCTAGGATGGGGAGATTGTTTACACTGACTGGAAAATGGAAAAAAACGACCTTGATCAACTACTTAGTGAGTTACCTTATAGATTCTATGTGCAAAATTTTCAACTGCAAAGTACAAGAGCCATTATTTCACATTTAATTTGAACCATGTCAAAGATGACTGTTCTCATCTGTCCCAAGGTCCCAAGCCCCTTCATCTTTTCAGAATCCACCCATGCTTGGTCAACACACTAGAACGCTCACCCTTTTTTAAAGACATTGTCTTGACTGGAACGTCACTATTTGGAAGCTGCAATATTGCCATTTGGAAAGAAGGCGTGCTGGTAAATAGCTGTTTGACCAAACAAAGGCATCTATGAATTCATTTCATTGTCTTGGTTGCTGTTTTTGAGTTCTGACAAACCGACTTCCAGGACGGACCCATTTTCTTGTTCCCGAGCTCGGACGGGCTTTATACTTCAGCATGCTGGTCTTTGACCCGACCGGCAATTTTCTTTGTCGGGAAAGGGGATGGAAAAGTTGAGGTATGGAATATTCTGCAAAAGTCAGGAGAAGCCATCCACGTGCAAGAGCACATGACCAATGGCAAGATAACCTGCATGAAACCATGGACCACCTCCTGTGAGTATTTGTGTGAAATCACAACGCTTGCCATACAAAAACTCCAGTCACAATGTCGACATTCTTTCGTATGATTTCGCTCAGTTTCACACCATTGCAATCATGAAATCCATCCATACATCCATTTTCAACACCGCTTATCCTGAAGAGGGTCGCGGGAATTGCTGCAGCCTATCCCTGCTGACTCTGGGCGAAAGGCGGAATAACCCCTGAACCACCAGTCAGTCACAGGGCACATATGCAGACAAACATCCATACACACCCACAGTCGCACCGTCACTGAGTGGAAACCGATCCCACGCTGCCCGCACATAAGTCAGGCGAGTGTACCACTACACTATCAGCGACTTTGAAATGCATCTTATCAGTAAATAAAGTTGCTGCATTGTTAGGGTCTCATATGAAATTCCTGTTGTGGTATTAAATAAGAATGGTCCTGATACTGATTATATATTATTGATACTGAGTGTTATTATCTGGCAAATTGTTTTGACACAGCTCCTGTTTCCAATGTGTGTATGCGCCAGTGTACGTGTGACAGTTTCCATAATATTGCAATCGAGCACAGTTTATTCCTTTTTTCTCATGTGGACATGCCGGTGATTCAACATTCCTTTGTTTGCTTTCTCGTGGGATCAGATTTTGTTGTATTGAAGAAGTGTTTATGGATGTTTGCTTTGCATGGCTTTATGTTACTCCAGCCAAGCAGCACTTCCTGACTTTGGCTGACGATCTTGGAATCGTCCGAGTTTTTCAAATCCCATCGGCGTTCAATCTTGCTTCCAGGAATGAGGTAAGACCGATTGCCTTTTGCCAACTTATTTTTAGCAAAGAATCCCAACCAAAATTTCCTGACTGCCGACTTAACTTTGTTTCATCATTTTTGATTTACTTTAAATAATCTATGTTGATGAAGAACAAATGGATTTGTGTGGCATACAGCATGTCATTTATTTGACGGCAAATGAAAGTAAACATCACATATTCCAACTATTTATCTCTCTCTCTCTCTCTCTCTCTCTCTCTCTCTCTCTCTCTCTCTCTCTCTCTCGCATGTGTGTAGAGACTGAACGTGGGGAAATGCATTAATCAGCAGGAGGAGAGGCTAAATGATCTTTTGAAGAGGAAAGAAGTGTGGGAAACCCAGACACCTGCATCAGAAGAGAAAAAGAAAGAGGTGAGATTCTGATGCTTGACAGTGCTTATCTATGCCCTACAGCACAGGTCAAAAGTCAAGGCCCGGGGGCCGAATCCGGCCCCCCGTGTCATTTTATGTGGCCCGCGGGAGCAAATCATGTGTGTCAACTTTCATGATTCTTGCTGAAATCTGTACCGAAATGTCAAATTGTCATGGGTAATAAATATAGTTGAGATTTTGCACCGACCCTCCGAGGGAAGCCATAACTCCGAAATGGCCTGCGACAAAAATGAGTTTGACCCCTGCCCTACAGTATTTTATACAGAAACAGGCAGAATCTTGAGCAAATCTTTGCTGCTTTTTAACTCTGTTAAGAGTGTGCACCATTTTGATGTTGAAATTGTCAATATAGTATTGAATTTTTCTCTAACCAAATGATTAATTCATAAACATGGAAATCCAGTGCCCCATTACAGGGAGCCATTCTTGACAGCACTTGTGTCTCCCTATTCACTAATTCTGGAAACCCTTCTGGACAAAGATTGGGTATTCTGATCTTGAATTGTCTCTCTACTTAATGCCACAAAATATGGAACAATCTCTGTTGTCATCACCTGAAGTGTACATGGAGATGAAATGCACGCTTGAATGTTTGTTTGCATGCCTCAGGGGTTGCTAATCTTCTTAGCTAAGGCATACTTTGGTGAATAGATGGTATTTCAGGAGTGCTTGTGAAAATTTCTAGGGAGACAGCATGACATTTTTTCAATCTGAGGTCAAAAGCCACAGTTTGTGAAGACTATCCAGAACAGGATTTGGAGCTAGTGAATATGCATGACGGTAGGGGTGATGTGCTGCCTGAGCTTTTAGCAGGTTATAAGCCTGCTAGCAGAGTTCTGGACTTACCGGTCTCTGACCAACACCTTTTCAGGCACCACAGACAGGACATGAGGGCATTGATAGTTGCCGGGTTTCCATTTAGACTTTTTTTTTTTTTTTTTTTTTGTCATTCAGTTTGAAGCTATCTGGTTAACTGTTTACATGTGAAGTGATCCATTCCGATCTGCCGTTTAAATGTGCCACTACAATAATCAGAGTAGCTGTTTACAGCCATTTAACATATGCGGATCGATGCAAGCATTCTGTGATTTATCAAGATGGAGTTCAGTGAAACGCAGAACTGAAACTGAGATTTAATCCTTTTACACAAGCAACGGCATGATAAAAACAAGTTACAGTACAACTAGTTTGAAAAAAAAAACCCTCTCCCATTACGTACCAGCTCTGGTTGGAAGCCCCCATTTTTAAGTGTGTCACGGCGCATTTACAGCAACACAGAGCATGCGCAGACCGAACACAGTCTGGCTATCCCGACTGAACCATATACATAACTTCTGTGCAGATTGGTAAAAAGAATAGATCACCTCCTGAATTAAATGTTATTCATATTGGGCATATTTCTTCCAAATGAGGTGTTTATATGGAGCATTTCATTCCGTTTGGTTATTTGGTTTCATTCTCATCGGAGTACAAAGCTCCATGCAAACCCGGCTAGTGATCAGGGCAAAGATGTGGATCTTGGGCATCGGTGTCACTGAGTAACGGTTGGAGTTTTGTAACGGTAGAATAATTCTTTCATCATTTGTCATTCTGTGACAGCAGAATGTTTTATAAATGAGATTGCGACCAGTTCTAATGCTTCCTTATTCTTTTCTCAAGGCAAGTGAAAAGCCAGGGACCCCCACAGAAGAGCAGGATGATATGAAGGAGTATGATAATTTTCTATTACTCGAGGAAAGCATCCTTAAAAGCATGGGCCTGACGCCATGACAACACATGCATGGTTTGTTTCACACGTGTTGTTATTGACAACGCACAAAAGTTTTTCTTTTTGAATGTACAGGTTGTATTTGATTTTTCTTTATTCTTAAAGTAAAAGGGGTAGTCTATAATGTTCAAGCTGCTTGCGGGATTTGAATGTAGCCTCACTTCAATGTCCTGCATGACATGCAGTTGTTTGTACAATATGCATTATGTACATCCAGACCATAGCCAAAACTGCTAGCGTGTTCATGTTGGAAAATTGCCAAATGCTAAACGTTAGCAGCTTGATGTATTTTCTGAAATGTACACTCAATTAAAAATATAAGAGACGTGGTCAACTTACCTCACCACCCGATGAAAACAACTTTGGCAGTGGTTTTGCAGGCGCAGTGATTCAGCCATCCGCATCCGTTACATATACACTGCCTTATAGAACTATTTGCACCCCGGTAAAAATGTGTTCTTTCTTTTTCTTTCTTTCGAAATAATAACAAAAGAGCACCCCTAATCTTCTCCCTATTATGTTCCACGAGGTGGGAGAAGACAGAAAGAGGCTCTTCGACCATTGCTCTTTCAATTTCTCAGTCAACCAGTGACCTGCGTCCGCTCCTCTGCACTCTCCTCTTTAACCCCCACCACAGGTGTGACAGTATGCTTGTGAAATAAAAATGGAATTTATTTTAAGGCTTATAACACATCTTATCCAGGGGTTCCAATAATTATGGAGGTCCCGCCTTCTGTCTCTACAGTCTATGGTTAGCCTGTGACAAGTTTAGAAAGGATCATTAAAAATAGAATTGCAGCCATAAAATGTGACCAGAGAGGGATGATTTTTCAAAAGATCTTAATTAGATTCCAATGTCAGGTCACCACACCGTTTTTTAATATGTATGACAAAAAGTGGTTTGCAAACTACTTCTAACCCTAATAATGCAGTAAACATTTGAAAAAAGAATCATGAGATGGATAGATAATGAGATATTCAATTTTATTTAATGTTAACATTTGTTTCATCAGATCAAATATAATTTAGTCATTTTGAAAATCAACAAACTGACACATAATCTTCCGCGTTTCAAGTACATTTCCACCTCATCCCCCTAAGTGAGATCTTGTTTCTGAGTACCGGTAATGCTATCCATCGCCACCTTGTTTTCATGGCTTCTCAAGGTCACAGCTTGAATATTGTACATCGCAAGGGAGTCATTTTAGGGCTACTTTAATTTCAGGATAAGTATCTTTTGCTGATAGCCTTGTCATTACTTTGCTACCGGTAATCTAATTTATGGCTCATTTCACATGCTGTTGATAAACACATTTTTCATGAAAAGGACAATTTGAGACCTGAATCCGAGTTGTTTTAGCCAACAGTCATTATTTGACCATACACAAATGAACAAAACAATCAAATGTGAGGAGAATGGAAGACATTGTAATTTTCTTCATTACTGTATGTTATCATAAAATAATAATAATAATAATATCACATGTGCACTTCAAAAACTGTCTAAAATAGTTGAAAAGGTAAGCAAGCAAACAAACAAGAATAACGAGGAAAAAGATAAACCACCTTCTTTTTCCTTGTTAATGTCACTGGGCCTTTTTCTGCCACATTGTTCACAACATTTATGAGAAAGTTTTCCCCTTGAAGTGTACTGCCAAGAGCCCTCTGGACTCAATTAGTTTCACTCCTTCAAGGGAATAAAATGTGGAGGGTGCCAAGTCCACCGCAGGTCAAGCGCAGCCCAGGAAACCTATAGTGACTACTTGACAGCTGCTATCTGGCCAGAAAAGAGGTAGGGGTAACTGTAGGAGAAAGGGAGGGTTGGACCTAAAGAGGGGTAGCTCTGCATTATATAGGGCCCTGTCTTGTGCCAAGTTTTCAGTGGTTTCGGAGAATAGGAAGAGGAGAATAAAAAATAAAGGACAGAAAAATGTGGGGCAAAAGATGGTCTAAAATAGAAAACTAAAACAAATACAAGCTCGATGGGCTTGTCTTCACCCTTGTCTCGACTCATACTCGGAGGATGGTCATGTCATGAGGCAGAGCGGGCGGAGGAGAGGGAAGAATGGGCTGATTTGACGAAGGCGTCCATAAGGCCCCCGAGGCACTAGTAACAGTAAGGCCTTGGTGACAAAGGGGGCCTCTACTCTTCACTTGTCCCTTTCTCAAACCTTAGGGAATGTGCTTTGCAGGCCCTCTCTCCTTGATGGAGCCTCTCACTTTCTTCCCGGCCAGCTCAGGAATGTGCCTTCTGCAAATCAACACCACTCACACACACACACACACACACACACACACACACACACACACACACACACACACACACACACACACACGGGACGCCCGGACACGCACACATTTTCCCCATGGCTGTTTGGTTATCATAATCCGCTGTAGCAGTGTATACTTTCTAGTATTCGCTCAACTGACACTTCATTCGGTACATCGGTAGAATCTCACTGATATAAACATTTTGGCTGACACTGTTACAAGCACATTGGTTTCACCATATCTTCATTTGTCCTCGATCACTTTTTCCCCATTTTTGTAATGTCTCATGTGAACAACACTCTGAGGTCATGCCTTTTCATTCTGGCTGAGAGAAGGAATTTGACTCCAGAAGGCATATTTTCTTCAGTTGAGGCCATTCAATTGTTGATTGACTTTTTGCCTTTGAGTCATTGATAGCAATCCATCCAGGGCCTGAGGTGGCAAAGCGGTCCCAAAGTATGATGATCCCTCTACCATATTTACAGAGAGGATGAGCATTTGATGGTGGTATCTGGCAATGCTTCTTGAAAATGGCAAACTAACTGATTATTGCACATGGCAACTCTAAATAATAGGTCCAACCTCATTATATTTATTGAGCTCTAAGTTGGCTGACTCCTGGCTCTGATTGGTTCTGGAAGGGACTAGCCTACGGGTTTACATAATTTAGTGTCAATCAAAAATGAGTGTAGTAAAGGGATTAGTTTTAATGCAGGTCTTGTATTGGATCTCATTACATTTGCAAGTGTTCGTCATGTCTTTTGCCAAGGTTATGCACAAATCGGCTGTCATCTACACTTAGTTTCTTCAACATCCAGAACAACGGACAAGCATCACAGCAATGGTCATGATATCAAGGATATTCACGGTGTCAGATTTTCCTCAGCTAGTGAGGTCATCAATGTGAAAGACTTCTTTTAAAAAATAAACTGAACTAATTAAAGAGCCCTGCTTATGTGGGACAGATTGCCTTAAGTCTTGAATTTTTTGTTGTTGTTTTGTTTTGTATTGCCACTTCAAAAGAATACAGGATATCCAAAATCCTGTGAAGCAATGCAAGTGGCTTCTGAGCTGGAGGGCAGATTCATCTGGTTCGAGCCACTCAAGCCATTACTTTGACATTGCTGTGGCTAATATTTCTGTTCTTCCACAGTGAGACTTGTATTTACTAATCTGGGATATCCTAAGGATGTCACACCTTTTCTGACAAATTGGAACTGAGCCGTTGAGGCAGAAATACAAGTCACATATTCAATGCAACCTTCTGTGCATGTACACCCTGAACTGGTTGACGGTCAATTCGGAGGGTACTTGTAGACAAAACCATTCACACCAACCATTCCATAAGTTTGGGATTTTGGAATGTGAGTGGATGCCAGTTGACCCAAATAATACCCCACGAAAACCAACGCAAGCACCATACGAATATGGTACATCCAGGAAGGCTGGAACCCTGAACCTCTTAAGTTTCTGGCAGATAATAATAATAATAATAATATTAGTAATAATAATTTATTTTGAAAGCACTTTTCATCATACTCAAAGACACTTTACAAGAGTTTAAAACACAGGATAAAAATTTACACTTAAAGCCAAGCATACATGATTTAAAAAGAACACATTTAGATGAACAAAACAAAGCAAAAATGGGTAAAAGAGATTAAAAGGTGTTAAAAGCACTGCGGAACAGGTGAGTTTTAAGAGATGATTTGAAGGATTGGAGGTCAGTACAGTTGCGGATGTGTTGTGGTAGAGCGTTCCAGAGGGTGGGGGTGGGGGGGGGGCGACAGAGAAGGCTTTGAGATTGTTTTGTTTTGTACTGCCACTTCAAAAGAAAATATCTTTTGAATGATGTGGTTGGTGCTAACCACTTGATTGTTGTGCGGCCTCAGCACAACATCCGTGTCAAATGCCACTATGGTTGTACATTTTACAATGTAACTAAATTGCAACAGAAAAATATACCTCTAACTCACCAAACTTCAGAGTTGGAACCACCATAAGCATGATATTGTGTTGTAACACATCAGCATATGTTATGAGAGCTCAGTTCTCTCATTCACAGTATTTATTCATAAAGTCTTCGTGAATTTGGCTTTTTGTGGATTTTTTTTTTACCTTTGACTCGGGTGTTTAGAGGAGTGTATTGTGATATAAGAAAAAGAATGAAGTGTTCCCTCCCTTCTTTGCGGTTCAGGTATTGCAGATTCACTGTATACAGGATGACGGCCCGGTAGTCCAGTGGTTAGCACGTCGGCTTCACAGTGCAGAGGTACTGGGTTCAATTCCAGCTCCGGCCTCCCTGTGTAGAGTTTGCATGTTCTTCCCGTGCCCGTGTGGGTTTTCTCCGGGTACTCCGGTTTCCTCCCACATTCCAAAAACATGCATGGTAGGCTGATTGAACACTCTAAGTTGTCCCTAGGTGTGAATGTGAGCGTGGATGGTTGTTCGTCTCTGTGTGCCCTGCGATTGGCTGGCAACCGATTCAGGGTGTCCCCCGCCTACTGCCCGAAGAGAGCTGGGATAGGCTCCAGCACCCCCCGCGACCCTAGTGAGGATCAAGCGGTTCGGAAAATGGATGGATGGATGTATACAGGATTTTAATTTGTGACCACAACTATATCTACTGCAGTTTTACCTTGCAATTTTGTGGGGTTTCTTGCTATTTTTCATCCTTCTAAGTAGGACCAGTCAAGAAATATCTTTTAATTTTTTTTCGTGGGATTAGTTTTAAATCTGATTTGTTTTAAAACCAAGACCATGAACATTAGAGTCACAGAAGCGGAAATTCAAAACGCTCTGAACATGTGTGTGTGTGTTCAGAGCGGCAGAGCGCGCTTGCCCTCTTATTAATTTCCGAACGTGGCCTCATGTTCTAAACCAGG